GGCGAATGGCCACTGTTTCTCTGCATTCCTAAGGGCCATAAAGGAAAACCGGTGTGCAGAAGCTGCCATTTGTTTTACAATTAGCAGTGGAAGTGGTATGATGAATATGGCAGACGTTGTAGCTTGGATGCTTTTAGGTCAGAGGAAGCGCAGGTCAGCCAAAGGGCTGCTTTGATTGTTTTTGTCTCTATTAAGATAACTGTCTCAGTATGAGGCTGACATCTGTAGATGTAGTTTAACCACCTTTTGTGGATTTCATAGACATTTTAATAAGCTAAATTTAAGATGAATAGTAATATTTCTATCACATACATCATAGGAAGATACGGTTTTTGTAATTAGGTTTGATGCCCCCTGAATCTCCAAGGACAGATTTCTGACAGTCGAACCTTTGTGGAAAAAACTTAGTAGGTTATGGCATCACTAAGAACATCATGTTAGCTCTTATTTATTTCAAATTCACTCTGTTGTTTGGTAACAAAATGCAGACGTTTCAAAATCGTATCAGCTGTAGTAAACAATAATATAACTTTGTCAGCAAAAGCAGACAAGATGTTCAGCGTGGTGGATTACCATCTCACGCAACATTTTGAGCCTCTGCAAGCTGAATGGAAAAGCTGCAAGGATTAAGATGGGAAAAATGTAAAAAATCAAGCATACTGGTACGATTGTAAAATGGATAGCAGTGTAAAGTACTCTTTGTAGTAAATGGGGGTTAAACATATGAAGGTCCTTTAAGGATGTCATATTGGCCGAAAGTGTGGAAACTCCCGCTCCGTCCCATAAACCTGAACAGAACTGATAAGAGACTGTTTATCAGGCAGAAGGATTCATAGCCGAGTGCATGTTCTCCAATTATTAACTGACAAAGTCTTGGCCCCCGAACATATTCTACTCGTTTACCACATAAAATGATACAGAGACATTAAGAATTGTAGTTCATCAACTAAACTTTGCTTTGAGGTTGCCGTGACTCTTGTTTAATGTGTTGTTAAGTTAACATTACTAACAAGGCAAATACACACACATACCTTCTTATTCAAAATGTCAGGGTTTCCTTTAGCTGTTAAAATATAATATAAAATATCAGCGACATTTCCACTGAAGTTCATTGGATTGATATAGTAGGGTGATATTGATTGATACTGAGTGTTCTTGAGGGCTTCAAACCCTGACCAGAGATTTTAATTCCTCTCTGAAAACGGAGGAGGAACCTGCTGATTTATGACTTTAAAGGTTATCGGTTTTTATCCAGGGAAGTTTTGCTGAGCATGTGTGCAGTTATTGACTTTAAATTGCAGAGTCAATCTCAGGATAATTTTTTGTGCATTTCTTTTATTTTGAAAATAGCAGCTAGTTCATCTCATAGACATCCATCAATTGAGCTAAGACGGGCTAACCCTATGCTCCAACATGCTTTCCAACTACATGCAGACACAGAAGATTTATAAAGGTGCTGTTTAGGAAACTGCAGCTGCATCCTCGGGTTGATAACACTGACCTTTCTCTAGACACTGTCGTCTTTGCATGTACAGCACAGAAAAGAGGCTAAATGGAGAAATTTCCGAAGCGAGAAAAGATGCAAGCGAATCAGAGAGCGGAGGGTGACAGGAAGAGGGATCAACAGCAGGCCAGCAGGGGACGTGGCCAAGGGCGCCCAAGGGTTGTAGCTGCCAGCAGCCCAGCAGCACAGGGCCTGTTTGTCCCATCCTGAAAGGCACACAGGAACCCTCAGTGGGAAGGAAACAGAGAGGCTGTTTTTGTTTTCTTTTTTTCCTCAGTAAATACCCAAGACTTTAATTTCACCAAGCGCTCAGATTGCACTGATGACAAGGCGGTGTGAGTTTGCCGAGCGACGAATGATGGACATCTATTAGACACACACACACACACACACACATACATACACAGACACTTGCACATGAAAAATTACGAGTAAAGAATACATTTGGGCCAAGATGTTTTCACTGTTTGTACTGACCAGTAAAACACAAAAATATGCCTCTAGCCTAAATCCTTTTCTGAAAAAGATTTGTTGCATTTTTTTCAGTAACTATACCTGTTGCAAATACTGACACATGTTTTATCCAACTACAGACTGAACTGAATATACGTTATTAGTAAATTAAGACGAAGCCTTGAGCAAACAAAGCTGAAATTTGAATTTGAAAACCACATTAAAACACATGACATATCCACTTACAAACAAACAAACACATTAGTACTGTATTTATACACACAAAACACAAACTAAACACATAGAACTGACCTCTCAGACTGAAGTGCCCACAGAACAATAACACTCCAAGGTTTGTGTATGAAAATATATTAGCTGATTGTTAATGGAGGGATGGGGAGTGTGTGTGTGTGTCTGTGTGTGTGTGTGTGCTGACAGTGCTGGCACTTGAAGCACTGCTGCAGAATAACAGTGTTGAAACGGGGCTTCTCTGCGGCTTTGTGCCTCCTGCTCAGCTGCTGGACGCGACCTCGAGCACATCAGCACCTCATTAGGTCATTTGTCCCAAATTCAGTCGATGCAGTCCAGGACTCCACTGTGCACTCTGGGTAGTGATTTCTAAATGGGGTGCAGTTCCTTACAGTTCAGCTGCCACTGATCAAGACAACTTAGAAACTCAATCAAATATAAATGTACAAAAATATATAAAAAAATACTGTAATTAGATCATCATTGACTATAAACCAGTGTTGAAATGACACATGGATTAGTATAGTCTATGTTTTGTTTTTTGTTTTTCTCTCCGGTCTTGCCTCCTTCCCGTCATACTTGCTTCAGTGCTGTGTGTCTTGTGACAGTGAGGACTCGATTCGTCTGGCAGGTCTATTTTTACCTGACAGTGTTTAAGTTTCTCTGAGTCTTTCTCATGCCTTCAGCCTTTGTTTTGGTTTGTCTGAATGCTTTTTCCTTCATCATCTTCACGCATCAGAACGCTTCCATCGACCACACCCACGGAGCGATCGTGTGTCGGTTAGCCGATGTGTCTGCTTGTGCACGCCTTCATTTGCATGCATTTGTGTGTGCATCCATACTGTACATTCACTTTTTTGCATTTTTGTGGCATATGCATGTGTGCATCTCTGTGTGTGTGTGTGTGTCTGTGTGTTTGTGTGTGGTCTCTGCAGCGTAGATTCTTTACGTAACAGCTTATGCACGTCTAGAGGAGTGATTGTCCGCTTCATAGACTCTGAATGACACACACACACAGACGCACACCCGTTAATCAGGATTAAGATCACATAATGCCGTTAACCTAAACAAAGGAAAATACCTGCGATTTATTTTCTTATACGCTCCTCCACCTGTCCAGTCTTGTTGCGTAAAAAGCTCTTCTCTGTATTTAACAAAGGTACTATTTCCAAACCTGTCACACAAGTAGATCTGATCGTATTTGACTCAGAGTTGCAATGTGGTTGTCCTGGCAATGTAAGCAAAAGGCAATAACATAATAATCCTCAAATATAAATTTTCCTATTGTTTAACTCATACATGGAAATACCTGACATCAGGCCGACTTCAAACCAGTAAGAATAAACATATAAAAACATAAATACAGAAATGTTGATGTGGAAATAACCAGTGTACATTGGACTGGCATCAAGTTCCAAACGCTAAGGCCACAACCCCTTTTGGGAATCATGCTATCATATAACGAGAAAACCAGGAACATTTTAATTTTTAGTTGCAGAATTTTAATTTTTAGTTGCAGAATTAGGGCTGAGAATAGATTTTGTGTCTGCATTATAGTTAATTAAGGTTTTGGTTTCTTAACTTAACTTTATCTGCCTTGTACTGTGCTTTACTCCTCTTGTGGCTTGGTCTCATCTTCTCCCTTCCTGTGTCCTAGGGGGACTCTTCTTGGGAAACAACTGTTGTATAGTGAGAGCTTATGAAAATGCAGTTGCATTATTGTCACCCAAGAGCAATAACAATCTACAGATTATAATTTCTTACCAATTAACAGGTACTGATCACTGATAAATACATCTCCAAACATGCAGCTTAGATTTGGATGTAGGTGAAATCTATCTTCAGCTGTCAGTCCCTAATCCTGGTCCTGGTTGTTTGTCAGGGCAGTGAGCTCCATTGGGAAACAGGAATGTGAGGTATGAAGGAGTGGAGGATGATGGAAGGATGGAGGAGGGACTCCTGGTACCAACTTCTCTAAAACTTTTCTTTCATCCTTAACAGTTTTCTTTCTTTTTTTTATTACCCTGCTGTCTCTCTTTCCCCCCTATATATTTATGAATTTGGCTTTACTTGTTTCTATTAATGGTGGATTGGGTGGAACTGAGCCATGTCACAACCACCTTATCATCATCTGCAGTGCATTAATCTCACAAAATAATTACACCAGTTAAACAAATACTCCATCCATGTCGATGTTAAACAAATACTGCGCCAAACAGTAGCTGCTGCTGCTGTGGATATTTCCAGAGTGTCCTCCGAAAGCTTTTAAAATCCTATAATTGATCAATTGACTTAAACATGTTTTCACACTCAGTGGAACCCCAAACCCTGGAAGTGATGTTACAGGATATTATACATTGATAGTTGGTGTTATTCCCTCAGAAAACAGTAAGGGCTTTGTTCTCTTAAGTTGCCATTTAGCACCAATGACATTAAAAAAATCATAAAAGGAGAAAGTCAACATAGAAGAGGAAGAGACCAACTCTGATACGCATAGTAACCAAATAGAATAGACTAAAATGCACTACATCTTCTAGACAGGTGGGAGTTGTGAGTTTGAACAGTCCTGGACACACCTCACTGTTCATGAACTAGCTGGCTCGGTTGGTCTGTTTACATGGCATGGTTGACTGAGAGCAGGTTAATACTCTGGTGTAAACCAAAAGATTTGGTAAGAAATTTGGCTGAGTGTAGAAGATGGAGCAGGTTGTACAAAGTAACGTCTAGACTCCCAGTCCTCATTACACATGTTGAAGCCCTCCTTTAACCTTCTCTCTCCTTTGTTTCTTTTCAGACTCAACTAGAGTTGGACAAATACCTCCCCCAGGTCAACAGTCCTCTTTTGAGTCTCTCGGCCGACACTGGTGACAAGAAATACAGACGAGAGAGCGCCTCCGTGGTCGACGAGTACTTCTCGGAGGACAAACCTAATGCCCCTTACAGCCTCAACATCAACGTCATCCTTCCCAGCACCACTCACCTCCGCACAGGCCTCTACCGGCCTAACACCAAGACCCTCACGCCACAGCAGATCAAGACAGAACCCGGGCTGGAGGTCCCCTGCTCCATCCCCACCACCCAGGCCCTGCCAGACTTCACCTCCGTCTTCAGTGTGCCGCCTGTCGTCAACAACGTTTTTATCAAACCAGACATGAGCTCTGGAGGAGTAGTGAGTGTGTCCGCAGCACAGCAGCAGCAACAGCAGCAGCCACATTTGGACACAGAGCTTCACATCGGCCCTCCTGCCCCCCAGCAGCAGGTCTACCACATGCCCATCACCAGCTGTGCTGACCTCACCATGACTCTGTCCCATACCAGTCCGTCTGCACATGGCTCCACCGGTACTAGGACCATGCTGAACCTCGGCGGCGTTGCATTGCCAACATCCAACGGCAACTACATGATGGCAGAACACCACCTGCACCATGGTTACTACCAGGCCTCTCCGACCAACTCATCACAGCACACAGCGCCCCACAGTCTGCCACCCTCACCCCCAAACTCTCAGCCAGGGAGCCCAGACGGTCAGGCAGAGCTGCTCAGCTTAGCACCTCAACCTCCGCCTCCATACCAGCAGCGTCTGGATAATATAAAGGTGACAGGGTTGTCTCCACATGCCTTGCTGATGACACATGGCCAGGGTGTCCTGACAGGTCCCAAATACAACAGGCGGAACAACCCAGAGCTGGAGAAGAGGAGGATCCACTTCTGTGACTACCCAGGTCTGTGGTTTATTTGTAATTTAAGAATACATTTTGAGTGTGAGAGTGAGAGAATAATTCTGGTGCTCTTTGGTTTCAACAGGTGTTCTACTTGTGTCAAGGAATATAGTGACAATGACTAAACTAATTATTCTACTAAATTTAGTTTCAAGACTAAAACTGATTCCACTGAAATTAAGTTATCTGACTTTATTGGCAGTTTATTATGTGTTGTATCATTAGAGCCAGTACAGTATGTTGCTCCAGGCAAAAGCCAATCAAACCACCTCCTTTTCCAACCCAACCCCTTCACCAAATACACTCTCATTGATATGATCAGCAGCAGAATCACTTTCTGCAAGTTTAAAGTGAAGACGCCAAACTTGCAGCATCATTATCTTGGTGTTTGCTCACCACTGCGCAATCAATTTCATGTTTGATCTTGTTTGTGAGCAACCTTTCAATGTGCAGCTGAGATGTCCCCCACCTTGCAGCAGCTACCATTGATCATATGTTGGCAACATACAAAACAGTATGCAATTTAATATTAGCTCATAGATACAAAGATTAAATATTACTACTACTGTACTATATAAGCTACTTCCATTTTTTGACACAAGACACTTACACAATCAGCAGTTTGACCTTTTAAAAGTTTTTTCTGGGTTTTAATAACAGTTTGCTACACAAACAACTAATGAAAGCAAGTTTCAGCAAGTTGGCTCAAATTGCTTTCAACCAATGTCTCTGCTGTGTAAATATGCTCAACTCAGAAAGCAAAAATCTGTCAGTAATACACCGCTTCTCTTTCACTGTACATGCTTAAACATCAACAGAGTGTTAGAACAATAAAACAAAGCTGCCACAATATCCCTTAAACGATGATTGTGGTAGTTGTATGGGAAATAAATTCCATAATCCCATTCCAATTGTATCACTTTTTGAGAGAATAAGGATTTTAGGATTCCAAAATCCAAAATGGATTAATGACTGAGTTTAACTGGTGATATTTTGAATTAAAACCAGCTTACATAATTTAAGTTTACTATCCAGGATAGGAACATCAACTATGTTTGTGAAAGGGAATAATTAGAGTGTTTGAGACTCACAGTTTGAAATGGTCCTTTGCCAAATATCTTAGAATGAGTTATCTTAGTTGTCATTCTTACTGTGTCACGAGTGGAAAAACAACTCAAGAAACAGCACATTTTGTCCTTACATAACAGCTTTATTGCCAAGGTAAGCTTTGTGTCAGGTGAGCACATTTCTGTTGTCAGCTTGGCTCATCTCTCTCTGTGATTTCTTTTCAGGCTGCACCAAAGTTTACACAAAGAGCTCTCATCTGAAGGCACACCAAAGGACACACACAGGTGAGAAAACAGTTTTATGTGACTTTAACTTAAAATAGATGCTGACGTGACAGGAAGTAAATATTAGTGTTTCTTTGCCATGATATATAATTCCATAAACTGTCTGGGTAATCTGAATGGTCAGTTCAAACTGCATTTATTTTAAGTTAGTGCAGGTTTACTGAATATAAAATCAACCCTTCTTCATGTATTTACAGTTCAGTCAGAGACATTAACCAAGTGACCATCAGCAAAATTGTCCAGATACAAACTTACTAAACCAGCGACCATCCAGTCACAATCTCTCCACTGTAACCATGGCGCTCAGTTGCTGCAGTTTATTTATTTTTATATTACATATTTTGTCACATAGCCAGTTTCGATACACCCTATAACTATAATAGACACGAAGAACACAAAGAAAAGGAAAAACAACATTGAAGCAACATTAGTTTGCTGAAGAGTTTTTGTTTTTTCTCCACCATGTTTATACGTGCTCATACCTGTCCTCGAAGCTTCCCCAGAGAGAGAGAACAAAGAAGGGAGGGAGGAGGGGGGATGAGGGAAAGAGGAAAACGAGGGAAGACGCACAGTTAAAATGAAGGCCAAACCAGTTACTCCTGCTTTTCAGTCCCCATTCAGAGGATGGAGGAGGTGGGGGGGGAGGCTGGCTTCAGTGTGTTTCCCTTCTGTAAGGTGAAACCTGCGTATTCCCAGCAACCTCAGACCTGGATTTTGGAGATTTACTCATGCGATAAAAGCTGCAGAGGTCTTTCAGTGTGAAAACAGTGACAGAGAGAAAGAGGGAACACGTGAATAAATGTGCAAATAGAAACAGATCTCTCTATGGTCATAAATAGATAAGATGAAACTTTATGGATCCCAGTTGGGACGTTGGGTTGTTGCAGCAGCAGGATGCAGCAGCGCAAAAAGACAAATAGACTATAAAATATGCAATGAGAAGAGTAAACAACACAATACAATAAAGCAGTAAGAGAGTAGAGAGCTTATACAAATCAAATGTAAACTATATCAAAGGGAAATGTCAGGGTGAGGAAGAAGTATGGATCAGGGAGGAGGTTTTGTTATTGACATGATATCAAATTGATTAATCAAACTGTCAAGCTCCTCTCTTTCCTATAGGCATAGTAGGCATGGTTCTAAAATGTTGTAGTTCTTTTTACTGGGCTCAATGTGATGTGGCCATTGAATGTGTCTTACTGACTGACCAACCAACACACATCATTGAAATAAGCGTGGAGATCCAAGGAGATCCAATGGGCTATTGGTTCCCAATGGTTTTTGCTTCTAATCCCTCCAAAAAAAGCTGTTTTTCTGCAACCATTTGTCACAGGTTGAATGAATACAGGTTGTGACCAGTTCAACAAGTTCAAGAGAGGTTATTCCTTCTGAGAATGCTTTATTTTAAGCATTCTACTTGTGTAACAAAAAATAAAAAGCAATCCAATTCAAATTAAACTAAAGAAAAGTCTAAAATATGCCTTTACACAACCGTTCCCAGGATGGGTACCACTGCCATAGGGCACACTTAAAATTACCCCAGTGTTGCTAACTAGGCAACTGTACGTTAGAATTGGCAGTCTTTAAAACCACCATAAACAGCCAAGTAACTTCCTCTTGAAGAAATCCACAGGCTCTGTGAAACAGTGAATCAGTGGCACCTTCTGCTCACTGTGTTCAGATAATCATACCATGTTTAGGTGAACTGAAACGGACTGCAACACGTCCAGGGCTTGTATAAAAACTAACGTCCTAGTCTACTCATTCTGGTCACTCAGTGAATCTCGCAAATGGGCTTCATTTTGCAATCTGGCAAAACCAGGCTTGCCTAGTCTTGCTTTGCATTCAGTTGATTATGACTCATGAGTTAGAAATGTGGAGCTGACTACAGGAAATGGCCCAGGCAAATCAACCAAAATTACCGAAACACTTACCGGAGTGTGGACACGGCATAGCTCTTCAGTCATATACTGCCTCTTCTCTCATTATTATCATTATTGTATTAATCAATCCTGCAGAAATATGGGGATCTGGATGGATATTCATCTCTCATCATGTCCAAACTGCTTTCATGTCCTATCTCTCCAACAGACAGCTCAGTGGTCTTAATCATCTTCATTGTGGAGTGCCTCAAGGCTCTTTCCTAGATCCCCTTTTTTTTTTTGTATCTGTGCGCTTCCTCCAGGACAAATCATCCAAAGCCCTAACTTTTTTTTCACCACTGCAGATAAAACACAGCTCAATGCACATGTGAACTTCTGACTTTTTGTCTAGTTTGTCTAATTTTAGATGTTGAATAACTTTCAATTCAATAATAGACTTGTTCTGCTCACTGAACGCATATTATATTTTATCTTATACCTCACTGTAAGCCTAGTTTTTAATCCTAAACTTACCATTTGAAAACTGCATTAGTAAAGTAGTCCAGTCCTCCCATCAACCTAAAATAGTTTCAATATATGCTTGTTTTTGTCATTCTCGGACTTGCAGAAAGCTTTTCATGCTTTATCTTTTCCAGGATTGATTAATGTGGCTCTCTGTTTGCCTTCTTGAGTGGTGAAGCCTGTTCACACCTTTAACTCATACAGAATGCTGCAGCCAGTCTCATATCAACTATCTAAAACCCAAAGCTATTCAGTTCAGAAACTTAAACATAAAACCCTCACATCTAAGTTTTTGGCATTGTTGCTTGAAACATTTTTTGTTCATTAAATTCTTGTAACTCGACTAATTTATTAATCGACCAATCATTTCCACTCATCGTGTTCCTGTGTGTCTGTTGATATCTTCTAATCATGGCTCAAAGTTGAAGGTAGTCTTTAATATCCGAGATGGGAAATTTGTTGAAACGAAAAAATACCTATTAATATTACATAACACACTGGACCTATACGTACTTGTAATGTAGCATTTAGAGACTTACTAAGGTATTTTGTTTTGATGTTATCTGTAGAAAGAGTAGCCATTTCCAAGGTGCCTGTAATCAGGCAAGAACCACCTGAGAGCTGTTGATGTGCATGTTGTTGGAGTGCATCATTATCTCTAGCTCTGCTATCACAACAATCTGTCCCTCCCACTGGTACGTAGGAGGGGGGCAACCTTGACCATGGCCTCAGCAGCCATTTGAACTCTGCACGTTGACTTTTGTAATTGTGTTAGTGCGCATATATGTGTGTACATGTGTGTGTAAAGAGTAGAGTGCTATCAGCCTGATTAGGGAACCCTCCAGCCCTCTTCACAAACACTAACTGATAAAGCTAAGAGGTCCACAAAGAGTTTATGGGCGTCCTGGAGAGCCTCGAAGTGTTTGCTCTTTGACTCACTAAAACCAGGCAAAGATGGTTTTAAAATGTTATTAACATACTCCTGATGTATTATATGAGTCTGTGTATAGTTATTTCGGGCATGAATTGTGTGACGTAGGATAAATAAGATGGTTTGAAAAATCTAGTTTCTCCTCAGCTATTTTATCTTTATTATGAATACATATGATTAAATGATAACATAAGACACACATTCAGCTTTGTTACATTAGCTTCCAGTCGATTTTAAATGTTTCTTATTGCCTGGCTCCACACATAATTATTATTTTTATTATTATTCCTCTGATTTCTAACACACACAGAGCTTCAGAAACTCTTCAGTGTTTGAATTCAGCAGACAGACAGTATATGGCAGACTTACTGATAACACAAATACACATCTAAGTACATAAAAAACTTAAATAAATAGAATTGTAATGTCATTTCATTTAAACAAATCTTAATGGTACAAAAATCAAGTAATGTAACTGCGTTTTCATGTAGCTGGTTCAGGTTGTCAGAGAGACTTGAAGCCTCCTATAGTAAAGTAAATATACATAAAATATAGTAACAAAAGCTTTTTGTCCCAGAGTGATTAATGCACTCTAGCTATTACTCTGCCTGTATATTTCTGAGGGTGTGTGTTTTGTTGTGTTTGTGTGTGTAAGACTGTTTGTTTGTCCATTATGGTTTATGACGTATTCATACATACACTCATTAGCGTGTGTGTGTGTGTGTG